AAAAAGCTTTACAGATCTCAACATAAGTTCCTATCTGGGAATGATTTCTTTTCAGTTCAAAGAACACTTTACAGTGAATTGATTTGGTATTCTAAACATGATGAACATATTGCTCATGTTCTTTAACATTTTTGTCTTAGAATTAATAAATGGATAAGAACACATACCACAGTGTCATCTTTCCTGGGAATTATTTGTAGGATGAATTTTATGTCAAAGATGAGTTGAAGAGCCCTCTGTTGAGTCAGAGGAAGATAGTCCTTGTCATTCTTCTTGCTGTGAGAAATAACCTCTTCAAAGCATTTCATTACTGCATCTGATACTTTGAAGACAAGTTGTTGCAATGTACCCCTGGAAAAAATATATTTATGTTATTTTGCATCTTGAAGAGTCATCATTTTCACAGGAAATCCAGATTTGAGGATTTTGTGGATCACAATTGATTATATTAATTACTTTATGCACCGTATAAGTGGAAATTTAAGTGACAGGCAAATTCAGCGATTTGTCCTCAAAAATTGGTTTTCAATTTTTAGCAAAATGTAATGTTAGCAATTTTAAAATGCTCACTAAAGAAGCTATTACATATAAAATGCAATTAATTATTAAAGATATTTTATATTAGCAATCTCAGCACCCTCACTAATAATGCTAAAATTAAATCCTCACTAAAAATTCTGCTTATACGGTATATAATATATCTTTCAATGAGAGTAATACTATACCTTTGCACTGCATGCCCTCCCACTCTGTTGATTTCTCTACACAGACTGTACAGCAGATCTTGGACATACCAGGAGGCCTGCAGAGTACAATCACACAAACTATTACTACATTACTACGGTAGTAACCCTAACAGGTCCTGGATTTATTTTTTAAGTAAATTCTGAGGGAAAGGTGGTATAAGATTTGCCTTCAAGTAATCATGACATCAGATTTGTTTTGATATAATCATGACATTAGATTTGCCTTGAGGTAATCATGATATTAGATTTGCCTTGAGGTAATCATGACATTAAATTTGCCTTGAGGTAATCATGATATTAGATTTTCCTTGAGGTAAACATGAAATTAGATTTGCCTTGGGGTAATCATGACATTAGATTAGCCCTAGAGGTGATCATGACATTAGATCTGCCTTGAGATAACCCTGATGTCAATTTTACCTTGAGGCAATTATGACATTAGATTTGTCTTGAGTTAATCATGACATTAGATTTGCCTCAAGGTAATCATGACATCAGATTTGCCTTGAGGCAATCATGACATCAGATTTGCCTTGAGGCAATCATAATAATACATTTGCCTTGAGGTAATCATGACATCAGATTTGCCTTGAGGTAATCATGACATCAGATTTGCCTTGAGGCAATCATGACATCAGATTTGCCTTGAGGCAATCATAACAATACATTTGCCTTGAGGTAATCATGACATTAGATTTGCCTTAAGTTAATATTGCTGTCAGATTTGCCTTGAGGTAATCATGACATTAGATTAGCCTAGAGGTGATCATGACATTAGATCTGCCTAGAGGTAATCATGACATTAGATTTGCCTTGAAATAATCTTGCTGTCAGATTTGCCTTGACGTAATCATGATATTAGATTTGTTTTGAGATATTCATAACATAAAATTTGCCTTGACATTATAACTGTAAAACACATATTACATATAAAAGTCATATGGTAGTGAAGAAAAATCCCTTTTTGTAAGAATTCCAGGATTCTTTACCTGCATTGGGACCCTGATTTTGGAACTGATCTTCTTCCCATCTTCGGTTTCTTCCTCTATGTTGACCTCATCCCACCTCTACAGCAAACATTCATTATTTTGTGATCATGTCAAAGAACAATACCATTTATATAGCAAAATAATACAAAACTACAACAGAACTCACTGTACAGTGAATGAGGGCATTCCTATGTTCTCTGGAACAAACTGCACTCCTGAATCTGGACACCACAGTCTCTGTTAAGTGGTCCACCCAGATTCTAAAGGAAATTAAATTTCTACTCAATGAAATTTGCATTTAATTTTCATAATACATGTACTATAAAAGTGATACATGTATCTCTGTATTCATATCAAAGACAACAGATCATTATAAAATGTCATTTATCTTTCTTTTTTTTTTTGCTACAAATTTTTTGATTATAATATCAACAGACTTTTAACTTATTTAAATTAAGAATCCATTATATAAAGATAAAAAATAATGTTGAATGAAATGAGCACCAATCAAATGGAAAGTAGAGACATCCAGGAAATACCATCTCTATGATCATACTGTTTTTTCTTTCTATTATTTAGGGCATAACCATCGTATTAAATATAATTCTACTAAACACTACTAATTTTTTATCTGAAGTTCGTCATCTTGGCATTTAAATAATGGCATACTCTTCAGATCTAAACGATCATCTTTTAAGCATTCCTTTTGAGAGAAAATAAAACTCTAGAAACATGATTTTCAAGAACTACCAAAAGAAGCACAAGCATCCATCAAAGCATGCAAGTTTGCTTTTGTCCGAGTCGACAGATGCTTGAAAATGAATTATCTAATATTTCATGAATCTGGTAAAATCATTTAGTTTATGATTGTTCAACTCATGAGAGGGTTGAGATTCTGTATTGTAATGATATGACCTGTTTAGGTAAATGTTACCTGTATGCCTCTTTGTGGCAGTTACACATTTTTCTACACTGACTGAGTAATGTTACCTGTATGCTTCTTTGTGACAGTTACACAACCTGTCTACACTGACTAGGTAAATGTTACCTGTATGCCTCTTTGTGGCAGTTACACATTTTTCTACACTGACTGAGTAAATGTTACCTATATCTCCCTTTGTGACAGTACAGAGCACTTCTACACTGACAAGGTAAATGTTACCTGTATGCTTTTTTGTGACAGTTACACAGCTTTTCTACACTGACTAGGTAAATTTAACTGTATGCCTCTTTGTGACAGTTATACAGTTTTTCTGACTAAGTAAATGTAACTGTATGCCTCTACTTGACAGTTACACAATTTCTACAATGACTGAGTAAATGTTACCTGTATGCCTCTTTGTGACAGTTACACAGCTTTTCTACACTGACTAGGTAAATGTTACCTGTATGCCTCTTTGTGACAGTTACACAGCTTTTCTAAACTGTCTAGGTAAAAGTAACTGTATGCCTCTTTGTGAACAGTTACAGAACCTTTCTACACTGTCTGGGTAAATGTTACCTGTATGCCTCTTTATGACAGTTACACAGCTTTTCTACACTGACTAGGTAAATGTAACTGTATGCCTCTTTGTGAACAGTTACAGAACCTTTCTACACTGTCTGGGTAAATGTTACCTGTATGCCTCTTTATGACAGTTACACAGCTTTTCTACACTGACTAGGTATATGTAACTGTATGCCTCTTTGTGAACAGTTACAGAACCTTTCTACACTGTCTGGGTAAATGTTACCTGTATGCCTCTTTGTGACAGTTACACAGCTTTTCTACACTGACTAGGTAAAAGTAACTGTATGCCTCTTTGTGACAGTTACACAGCTTTTCTACACTGACTAGGTAAATGTTACCTGTATGCCTCTTTGTGACAGTTACACAGCTTTTCTACACTGACTAGGTAAAAGTAACTGTATGCCTCTTTGTGAACAGTTACAGAACATTTCTACACTGACTGGGTAAATGTTACCTGTATGCCTCTTTGTGACAGTTACACAGCTTTTCTACACTGTCAGGGTAAATGTTACCTGTATGTCTCTTTGTGACAGTTACACAGCTTTTCTACACTGTCTAGGTAAATGTTACCTGTATGCCTCTTTGTGACAGTTACACAGCCTCTCTTTCGTCTTGACCCATTCAGGATTTTCTACACTTTTACTGCTACTATGAGAAGATGGCTTTTTCTGTCCTCTGTCAAATAAATTTTACAGTAACTAAACAACAAGCAAATAAATAAAAGTTTTAAAAGCCTTTGATGAGCCTGTAGTTTTAATGATGTGTACTCAGTGTATCTTAGTATTGTCTACTTGTGTATCAATTAAGTCTAATGAAATAAGATCAAAACTTCCCAGATATTTCTATATTTTAATTAGTAACTTAAAAACTTGTCAAATCAAAAACCTGTTCATAATAATAGAATTATTTATCTTAGTATAATGCTCTTGTTCACCAAAACTAAATGGACCATAACTGTGGAAGAAATGTTGAGTGCTGAGAATGAAGACAAACTGTGGGAGAGTAGCTCTTAGATAAACTCAATAAGGAAACCACTAAATTCTTTGTAAATCCAACTAATGTAAGTAGATATAGTGTGAAAAGTTATATAGATAACAGTGACTCAAATTATCTAAAAATTCTATACCTAACATAACTGCCTTTACACATCAGATTTCAAACTATTTTTAAAACTTTACCTGTGACTATCTGTCCCATGGATAGCAGATTTACCCATGATGCATTGCTGAAGAGCTGGAACCATATCTCCTAGTGCAGAGCACAGTCTGCCTACCAAAAGGACCCTGTGGCAAGGACAAACAGTTAAAACAGGCACACGATAAGACCTAAATATTTCACTGACTTAGACAATATATAACCTAATCCTACAAACCACAGAATTTATCCCCCCCCCCCACACACACACACAATTTTTGTTCCCCTTTCCCACAGCACCATCTGTGAAAGTAACATATTAAACAAGAGGCCCACGGGCCTTATAGGTCACCTGAGTATCATGTAACAACTTTCCAGCGATTGTATTTGGTTCGTGTTTTAAGCCAAAAGCCATGAAATTCACGAATTTTGAAAGAGGCACCATTGCTTATCAAAGGGCAGATTTCAAAGCATTAATTTATTTTTAGTCAAAGTACCCCCTTGGTACCCCTGACCCAGCAGCCCTGAAATTATCTATTTTGAAAGAGGACCCTTTCTTCATTATAAGGCCAGCATTTTTTTTTTATCGTTTAGGTTTAGTTATGAACATGAGAATAAAAAAGTCCAAAGGAAAAGGAAATATTTTTTTTTATAAATCAATTATTAACATTTGTACATTCTTTTTTGTGCTATCCTAATAGGCTCCTTACCACTGGACACATAATGCTTACAAATAGGAAAGTAGAACATTTAATTGCTTATTTCATCATCTGCCAGTTTGGGCCAGTTATATAAATTTTGTGATGTTGATCAAAATATATTTTAAAAAATCAATTCTTTAAAAGTCTTTCAATACATCTTCATTTTCTTAATATGTGTTAGGTGAATGTGTAGACATTGTTCTAAAATTTACTTGATGCCTAAAATTATAATTCCTATCATAAAACTGACAGGAAGTATTGGGGAGTAGGGTCAACATTTTTTTCAATTAAGTGTAAAATAATTTTTCTGGCTGATACAAATGATACTACATATATTTGTATATTCTTGCCTTTTAATAGTTGAATTTTTTTTTATTTCTTCACTTCAGGTTATTGTTTATTTCTTCCTCAAATGGACTTCACTTCTCCCATAGTTTTATTCATTACATCTGATGCATAAGCAACCATTTTCTGAAGAATGATGCTTAGACTGTAAGCTATAACAGAGACCTAAACAATGTCTCTGGCAATATGCAATAGCTACCACGGGCAGTTTAAAACCTGGGGGAGGAAAATAATTTACAGTTACTTTTGAAACGAATACATAATTATCTCACCAGCATGTCATTGTGCAACAAAGTCGTCGGCATTTTATTTGTCCTTTGAACGGGTGAAACGTTTTGAATGGCACTCTTATCGATGAATTTTACACTAAACCATGCTAAATTCTTGGATCTAGCTTTATTTACCCGCCGTTTCATCTAAAAACCGGAAGTGCGAGTTCGTAAATTTGAAATCTCGATCCCGACTCAAATTTGACATCGGAAAGAAAAAAATTGTTTTATTTTTTTCTAAAAGTTCAAAACCTTGAGCGGAGGGTTTGTAAAACCGAAAATAAAATAAATCCTGGCCTTAGATATGTAATTAGATCTTTAGCATATTAACCAAGAGCAAAGGATAAGATGTTCAAAGAATTCATACATTTCACTATATAATCATTAGAGCCCCACCCTAAAACAAAAACCCCTGATCCTGGGGCCAAAAAATCCACAATTTTGGTAGAGGCACTCTTGCTTATCATAACTATGTACTTAGTAAGTTTATTTAATACCCAGGAGCAGAGAACAAGATTTTCAAAGAATTAATGTATTTTCACTATAATAATCAATAGAGCCCTGCCCTAACACCAGAACCCCTGACCCTGGGGCCATAAAATTCACAATTTTGGTAGAGGCACTCTTGCTCATCATAACTATGTACTTAGTTGGTTTATTTGATACCCAGGAGCAGAGAAGAAGATTTTCAAAGAAATAATGCATTTTCACTACCTACTTATTTAGCCCCGCCCTACCACTAGAACCCCTGACCCTGGGTCCATGAATTTCACAATTTTGGTAGAGGACTCATTGCTGATTACAATCATGCAAACAGTTTGACTGCTTGATGTCCAGGAGTAAAGAAGAAGATTTTTAAAGATTGCACTAATTTTAGTGGTTTTGGCCCCACCCCTCAGGCCCCAGGGGGGCAGGGATCATGAAATTCACAATTTTTGTTCCCCTTCACCCATAGATGCTTTGTACCAAATTTGGTTGAAATTGGTTCAGTGGTTGCAGAGAAGAAGCTGAAAATGTTCAAATGTTAACGCACGACGCACGACGAACGACGACGGACGAAAACAGAAAGCAATAGGTCACCTGAGTTTACTCAGGTGACCTAAAAAACAGTGCATATATGAAATACTGTGAAATCACTAATTTTGTGGGAGTTTAATTTTCGCTGTTTTCGAGGTATGGAGAGAGCAACAAATTCAAAACCACTAAGAAATGTAAAATTTCATAACATTACTACATTACTACTAAAAATATTCCAAATCATGACATCAAATCCAAACAAACCAATATTTTTTCCCTCAAACCTTGAAAATTTGACCCCAGGAAAATATGTGATTTTACAGTAGGCTACTGGTATGTATAATTTATCCACTAAATCTTACTTGTCTTGTGTTAGCTGATTAATGTTCACATCTTTTATTTCTTGCAATGATTTCTCCCATAACTTCAAATGTTCAGACAGGTACTTCAATAACCTGTAATGAGCAGAAAAGTTTTAAACATCCAGGATAAGACCTGATTTTTTTTATACATTTACATGTATGTACATGTATATCTAGAAAACAAGTAGAACAAGTATCTGTTTATTGGGAACGTGAATAAGGAAATTCTTACAGCTGACTATAGAGCAAGTCCTACTGTAACCTATCAACGTACTGTATCAGTAGAAATTTTAGCGAGACGCAAATTTAGCGATTTGTCCTTAAAAAATTGTTTTATTATTAGTGAGATGTAATTTTAGCGATGTTAAAAAGCTCACTAAAGAAGCTATTACAAATAAAGCACAATTAATTTTTAGCGATATTCAATTTTAGCGCTCTTGGCAGCCTATAGCTACTAATGCCAAAATTAAATCCTCGCTAAAATTTCTGCTTATACGGTATTATGATCTTGTATATATATAATTTCATAAATGAGAATTAAAAAAATAAAATACTCTCCATTTTGCCCTCCAACCTGTCGTGGGAAAAATCTGATTATAAATTCTTACAACAGACTGAAGTAAGTCATAGTGTGCTCTACTTATAATATGCTTTCTCTTTTGTTATGCAAAATGTACAATTTATAAAATCTTATGAAAATAAAATAAAATACTTTACATTTCCCTTCAAGCCCCCACTCATCCCTACCCCAATTTGGCAAAGAAAATGAAAATTACTTTCTGTTTGTTGATTCAGAAGTTTTTTAAACTGCCACAAAGTTCCTCTTATTGTGAAAGCAGTATATAATTTGTTTACTTTTTTACAAGTAAAATCATAACAACTCTTACTCTTCTAAGCCGGCTTTACAGGTTGTCTGTATGTGTTCACACAGTGTGTCCGTGTCAGAGAGACGGTCGAACGGCTCAGGTCCCACCACTCTGTGATCCTCCTCGCACGACAAGGAAAGATAACTCAGGGAATCCTGCACCATTCCTTGTAGTTTCTCATCAAATGTTTTACATAAACTGCCAGAAAAAAATATTTCATAAAAACAAAGCCCAAACTAGACAATAAGAAGTACATTTAACATGCTGATTTTTTTTTTTTACACTCATATCTGCATTGATGAGGAGCAATCAGAGTTCTCTTTGTTTACTGTATACTACTGACTAACTGCTATTTACTAATGTGAAATAATAAAAGATCACATGGATTTATTAATGTAAATTACTTCAAAGGGGTACAACACAAAACTTTTCAAAGGATAGGGGCATTTTAAATTTTGGCTTGATCAATAATAATGACTTTTGGTTCAAAGCAAGAAATAAATTGAAAAGGATGAGCTCAACAACTTAGCCATAAGTTTCTTCTGAGACTGCAGTTTGTATTTTAAACAAGAGGCCCACGGGCCTTATAGGTCACCTGAGTATCATGTAACAACTTTCCAGCGATTGTATTTGGTTCGTGTTTTAATCCAAAAGCCATGAAATTCACAAATTTTGAAAGAGGCACCATTGCTTATCAAAGGGCAGATTTCAATGCATTAATTTATTTTTAGTCAAAGTACCCCCTGGTACCCCTGACCCAGCGGCCCTGAAATTATCTATTTTGAAAGAGGCCCCTTTCTTCATTTTAAGGCCAGCCTTTTTTTCATGTTTAGGTTTAGTTATGAACATGAGAATAAACAAGAGGCCCATGGGCCACATCGCTCACCTGAGCACTAAGGGTAGGAAAAAGTAGAAAATGGCTTTTTATTGTAAAGTTTAAATCCAAAAGTAGTCCCATGACCAATCATGGATTTGCTGTTTTTTAGAAAATCATTTTTAAAGAATTTTCCTATATATATCTTTAACAAGAGGCCCATGGGCCACATTGCTCACCTGAGCACTGTGGCTAGGTAAAAGTATACATTGGTTTATTATTGAAAAAGTAAAATCCAAAAGTAGTTCCATGAACGATCATGGATTTTCTATCTTTGAGAAGAAGATTTTAAAAGAATTTTCCTATATATTTCTATGTAAAACTTTGGTCGGCCATTTTGGCCCCGCCCTACCCCCGGGGGTCATGATTTGAACAAACTTGAATCTACACTAACTGAGGATGCTTCCATGTAAATATGATGAATTATGGCTTGGTCATTCTTGAGAAGAAGATTTTTAAAGAATTTTCCTATATATTTCTATGTAAAATTTGGTCGGCCATTTTGGCCCCGCCCTACCCCCGGGGGTCATGATTTGAACAAACTTGAGTCTACACTACCTGAGGATGCTTCCATATAAATATGATGAATTATGGCTTGGTCATTCTTGAGAAGAAGATTTTTAAAGAATTTTCCTATATATTTCTATGTAAAACTTTGGTCGGCCATTTTGGCCCCGTCCTACCCCTGGGGGTCATGATTTGAACAAATTTGAATCTACACTACTTGAGCATGCTTCCATATAAATATGATGAATTATGGCTTTGTCATTCTTGACAAGAAAATTTTATAGAATTTTCCTATATTTCTATGTAAAACTTTGGTCGGCCATTTTGGCCCCGCCCTACCCCCGGGGGTCATGATTTGAACAAATTTGAATCTACACTACTTGAGCATGCTTCCATATAAATATGATGAATTATTCTTGAGAAGAAGATTTTAAAGAATTTTCCTATATATTTCTATGTAAAACTTTGGTCGGCCATTTTGGCCCCGCCCTACCCCGGGGGGTCATGATTTGCACAAACATGAATCTACACTACCTGAGCATGCTCCCATATAAATATGATGAATTATGGCTTTGCCATTCTTGAGAAGAAGATTTTTAAAGAATTTTCCTATATATTTCTATGTAAAACTTTGGTCGGCCATTTTGGCCCCGCCCTACCGCCGGGGGTCATGATTTGAACAAACTTGAATCTACACTACCTGAGCATGCTTCCATATAAATATGATGAATTATGGCTTTGTCATTCTTGAGAAGAAGATTTTATAGAATTTTCCTATATTTCTATGTAAAACTTTGGTCGGCCATTTTGGCCCCGCCCTACCCCCGGGGGTCTGATTTGAACAAACTTGAATCTACACTACCTGAGCATGCTTCCATATAAATATGATGAATTATGGCTTTGTCATTCTTGAGAAGAAGATTTTATAGAATTTTCCTATATTTCTATGTAAAACTTTGGTCGGCCATTTTGGCCCCGCCCTACCCTGGGGGGTCATGATTTGAACAAACTTGAATCTACACTACCTGAGCATGCTTCCATATAAATATGATGAATTATGGCTTTGCCATTCTTGAGAAGAAGATTTTTAAAGAATTTTCCTATATATTTCTATGTAAAATTTTGGTCGGCCATTTTGGCCCTGCCCTATCCCCGAGGGTCATGATTTGAACAAACTTGAATCTACACTACCTGAGGATGTTTCCCCATAGGTTTCATATTTCCTGGCACAGTGGTTCTTGAGAAGAAGATTTTTAAAATATGCCACTAAATTTTCATTAATTCCCAATTATCTCCCCTTGAATGAGGGCGTGGCCCTTCATTTGAACAAACTTGAATCCCCTTCATCCAAGGATACTTTGTGGCAAGTTTGGTCGAAATTGGCCCAGCAGTTCTTGAGAAAAAGTCGAAAATGTGAAAAGTTTACAGACAGACAGACGGACAGCTAGACGGACGGACGGACGCCGGACAAAATGTGATCAGAAAAGCTCACTTGAGCCTTTGGCTCAGGTGAGCTAAAAAGTCCCGAAGGAGAAGGAAATAAAAAAAATTTTGATAAATCAATTATTAACATTTGAACATTCTTTTTTTATGCTATCCTAATAGGCTCCTTACCACTGGACACATAATGCTTACAAATAGGAAAGTAGTACATTTAATTGCTTATTTCATCATCTGCCAGTTTGGGCCAGTTATATAACTTTTGTGATGTTGATCAAAATATATTTTTACAAAATCAATTCTTTAAAAGTCTTTCAATATATCTTCATTTTTTTAATATGTGTTTGGTGAATATGTAGACATTGTTCTAAAATTTACTTGATGCCTAAAATTATAATTCCTATCATAAAACAGACAGGGAGTATTGCGGAGACTGGAGTAGGGTGAACATTTTTTCAATTAAGGGGGGACCTATGTCCGAAAAGTCTTTGTGAGAAATTTTCAAAACTTTGATATTTCTTTCCTGACCACTTGCTCTTAATTTTTAGGTATTAAAAACAATACCTTTATATGCTTATTTTTACACACGAGCACCTGCAAAAACAGGATGAATTGCTAAAAATAGATTATGTTCAGACATCATTGTTCTACTCTAAATATGCGCTAAAAAGAACCAAAAATGTCAAATCACAATCGAAATCAACAGGTATTTACTTTATATGACTTGTATCTTTAAAATGAAGGCAAATTCATTTTAATTTATCTCGCATGAAAAATTATAAAGGAGCGCAATGTAAGTATCACCCCCTTTTTCTTGTCGTATTTTTTACAATTTTGACATGCATAAAAGGTAATATCTTAAAAAGTCTTTGTGTGAAAATGTTGTAATTCGTATTTTTTGAAAGAACTGATTTATCTCTTTATTTTAGCAAAGAAAAAAGTATACCTTTATGATAAAATAAACGAGAAGTATGACGTTTTCTTTTATTTTCGTACTCTTGTTTAATAAATATTGACCTTTCTGCACTAAAAAAGGATAAGTAAGCACTGACAAACATCTGAATATAAAACTATTTTGCGAAAAACGAATATTTTGTTTTGATTAGAAACAATTTAAACAGATAAATTCTTTTCTTTTTCATTCTAATCATTCTGCCCCCCCCCCCCCATTTCCCCGTCAACAACAACTAGGAATGACTTTATACAATAAATTTACATGTACTATGAATCAATAAGCAAATATAAGTACAAGTACAACTCTTCATTTTTTCCATAGTTTTATCCAGAAAATACAATTAATGTTGAACATAAAATTAAACATATTTCTCTGATTTAAGCCACTTTCTTTGCTGAATTTTCTCTAAAATCTTTTTGCACTTATATATCAGCATATCATCAAAGTACATGTATTTCTTCACAACTGAAATTGCTTTAAATTACCAACCAAAGGAAGAGAATTCTAATGTTGACAAACTCCATTAATCAAATAAAACTGTTATTAACGATGAATAAATTTTGTTTTTGTAAATTGTGTACGTTATTGATTATTAACAATGTTATGTCTATATCACAGTGGCAAAAGTCAACAGGTAAAAACAAATGTCGCTATTGTGACGTCACATAACGCTGCTTTGACGTAGAACGACATAGGTCCCCCCTTAAGTGTAAAATAATTTTTCTGGCTGATGCAAATGATACTACATGCCTGTATATATTTGTATATTCTTGCCTTTTAATAGTTGAATTTTTTTTTATTTCTTCAGGTTATTGTTAATTATTTCTTCCTCAAATGGACTTAACTTCTCCCATAGTTTTATTCATTACATCTGATGCATAAGCAACCCTTTCTGAAGAATGATGCTTAGACTGTAAGCTATAACAGAGACCTAAACAATGTCGCTGGCAATATGCAATAGCTACCACGGGCAGTTTAAAACCTGGGGGAGGAAAATAATTTACAGAGTTACTTTGAAACGAATACATAATTATCTCAACAGCTTGTCATTGTGCAACAAAGTCGTCAGCATTTTATTCGTCCTTTGAACGGGTGAAACGTTTTGAATGGCACTCTTATCGATGAATGTTTCACTAAACCAAGCTATCTTCTCAGATCTAGCTTTATTTACCCGCCGTTTCATCGTAAAACCGGAAGTGCAAGTTCGTAAATTTGAAATCTCGATCCCGACTCAAATTTGACATCGGAAAGAAATTTTTTTTTTTTTTTTCTGAAAATTCAAAACCTTGACTTGAGGGTTTGTAAAACTGAAAATAGAATAAATCCTGGCCTTAAATATGTAATTATATCACTAGCATATTAACCAGGAGCAAAGGATAAGATGTTCGAAGAATTCATGCATTTCACTATATAATCATTAGAGCCCCACCCTAAAACAAGAACCCCTG